GGGAACCTTGGCTTCCTCCATCACTGGAGCAAGCAAGCCTCCTGTTCGCTTCAGCTGCCTGGCTGCCGGCCGCCATCTTGGTTGGCAGTTAATTTGCATATCTCGCTGATTAGCCAATAGGACGGGTAGCGAAGTTACGGTTAATTACCATGTTTGTCTATTATTAGATAGGAGGATATATTTGGAACACCAGCCATTTGTCAGATACATTCATATTTTACATCTGTTTTCTCCCAGTTTGTGGTTTGCCTTTTCATTTTTTTTCTCTTTTTTTGTTAATCCCTCCAGGATACCTTTTCCATTGATTTTCAGACAGAGGGGAAGGTAGGGGGAGACAGTGAGAGAGACACATCTCTAACTTTTATTCTATCTTAGAATTTTTATAACTCTGCTTACATTGCCCATCTGTTCATGTATGCTGTCTCTTTTATCCATTACAGCCCTTACCATATTAATCATAATTATTTTAAATTTCTGGTCTGATAATTTCAACATCCTTGCCATGTCTGGCTGTGATGCTTGCTTTGTGTCTTCAAATTGTGTCTGTTTGTTTTATTTTATTTTTTTGCCTTTGGAGGACCTGGTAATTCTTTCTTGATAGCCAGACATGATACATTGAGTAAAAGGAACTGCTATTAATAGGCCTTTAACAATGTATTGATAAGGTGTAGGAGGAGGGACGCATTCTCTAGTCCTATGCTTAGGTCTCAGTCTTTAGCAAACATGTGCCTCTGGACTGGGAACTTCACAATTGTTTCTCATTTTTCTCTACCCCCTCTTAGGTGTGTCAAGATGGTCAGAGTGGGCTGGATTTAGGTATTTTCCTTCTTCAGATCAGTTAGGCACTGATTGTATCCAAGAAGGTTAGGTTCTGGTTTCTCCTGGGGTAGGCCTTGTTAAGAACAGAGTGCTCTGGCCCTGACCAGTTTGGCTTAGTGGATAGAGCGTCGGCCTGCGGACTGAAAGGTCCCAGGTTCGATTCTGGTCAAGGGCATGTACCTTGGTTGTGGGCACATCTCCAGTGGGGGGTGTGCAGGAGGCAGCTGATTGATGTTTCTCTCTCATCGATGTTTCTAACTCTCTATCCCTCTCCCTTCCTCTCTGTGAAAAATCAATAAAATATATTTTTTAAAAAAAGAACAGAGTGCTCTGGTGTATTTCAAAAAAACAGTTCCATTTCTCTTCCCCTCACTGGAAGGATGAGGGGGTTTTTCTCCAGTATTTACTGTGCTAACCTGGTCCAGCTCCTGGAGGTAAAACTCACAATATTGTGGGCCCTTCCTTATTCTCTCTAGAGTTTGTAATGCTCAGAATCGTCCATATCTGAACCTCCAGCAATTCATCAGGTTTCCCTACCCGAGCTAGTTGCTTAGGTCTTTTACACTGGCGAGTCTTCGCTCTGGTAAGCCATGACTCCCTGTATTTGCCTGTCTCTCCAATTTTGAGGCAGCAGTTTGCCCCTGTGTCCTCCCCTCGCTTATGAATCCAAGAAGAGTTGTTGACTTTTCAGTCTGTTCAGCTTACTTGTTAAGATGAAGTGGCAACTTCTAAGCTCCTTACATTCAGAAATGTAAACTAGAAGTCCACCCTCAAAGTCAAGACTTAGTGTTTCCCCACCCCAAGATAACCATGCTTCTGCCTACAGTCATCATAACTCATTAGTTTATTTTTTAATCAAATCATATAGTATGTACTCATTGAGTCTGGCTTCATTTGCTCAACATTATGTCTGTGAGATATATATGAATAAGCCTTTTTATATTTATTAGAAGTAGAGAGTAGAGCACAAAACTATTTGCATTAACACTTGCTTTTAATAGAATAACAGCTTATAAAAATCCCCTTAATTAATGTTCTTGGCAGTAGGTTCAGGCCTATAGATTAAACACGCGCGCGCGCGCGCACACACACACACACACACACACACACACACTTATTTTAATTGTTTGATTTAATTTTGGTAATTCTATGCATGCGATATCAGGAGTAGCAGCTAGATTCAGGTCTGAGCATTAGAACACATATTGTTAGATATTGATTCTGTTGCTGACATATATCTCTATTAAGGCCTTTCTTCTAGTGGGCACCATTGTTAAATGTGTGTGAAGAGAGAGAGGCACCTGTTCTCTGTGAAAAGTGTAACTGTTAGCCTATTTACTTTGAAGTTTTTTTTATTTTTAAAATAAGAGAAAATATATTATTTTTAAGATTCTTCACAGATATGAAATTTTCATTTTAGCTTGTAGCCAAACGTTTCCTTAAATCACATATGATTGGAGCAAGAAAAATTTTTACCAACCATAATTGATGTTCTGTTATTGATTAACCATATTTAGTTTCTGAAAGAAATTTATATTTTCTGTGGTTACAAAATTAAGGGATGTATTTTTAAACATTATTTGACTTTTAGGGCAGTAAAGTCAGAGTATAAAAATTTATTCTTCTAGTATAGAAGTTTCAAAAATTTTGTTATATCAGGGAAACTCTTTACACAAAAGCTGGCATAGAAACCCATTTTATACAATCGGAAAAGTATAGCTGCTTTAGTTTAATTAAAAATCAAGCTTGTCTTTCTCTGTAATATTTTTTCCAGTTATAAGTGATAGTCTATCATAACACTATTTATAAGGCAAGGATATTGCCCCCTGGTACTTGTAACAAGTAACTTGTGGGGAGTTTTTGTTGTTGTTTTAAATATATTTTTGTTGATTTCAGAGAGGAATGGAGAGGGAAAGAGAAACATCAGTGATGAGAGAGAATCATTGATCAGCTGCCTCCTGCATGCCCCCTATTGGGGAACAAGCCCACAGCCCGGGCATGTGCCTTTGATTGGAATCGAACACAGGACCCTTTAGTCTGCAGGCCAATGCTCTATCCACTGAGCCAAACCAGCTAGGGCTAGTAACTTGTGTTTTTAATATAAAAATTTAAGTTGAGTTCAGTTTTAAAAGCCAGATGCATTTTTATCATATTAATATCATGTTTACTATGTAAGTATTAGGTAAATTATAAATTAATTTTTTTATTGCTGGCTTTTAAGTGCCTTAAACATGAATATAGTCTTTTGAATTTTGCCTTTTATAATTTGATGTTATTTATGACTTTTTTTTTTTTTGCCTCCTTTTTGTAGGAGTCTACCATGGCTCAAGAGTCTCCCAGAAATTCAGCAGCAGAAATTGCGGTGACTAGTAATGGAGAAGTTGATGACTCTCATGAACATGGCTTTAATAAGGTAAAAACACTTTTCTTTTTCTTAATATAAGGAATCATGATAAGTCCTTAAATGTTGAGACAAAAGTAATAGTGTTTAACATAGGAATATTTTCTTAGATTGACCGAAATGCCAGGAATCTAATTTATCATGTAGGGATGACTAGGTATGTCATAATAGTGATTTGTCAAGATTAAGCCTCAGGCCAGTAAGCATTTAGGCTTTGATGTTATCAATAATCTAATCTAATAAAAGAGAAACATGCAAATTGACCACACCTCCTTTATGCCCAAGCCACGCCCACCAGCCAATCAGAGTGACTATATGCAAATTAACCCAACCAAGATGGCGGCTGGCAGCCACGGAGCTGGAGCAAGCAGGAGGTTTGGTTGCCCCAGCGATGGAGGAAGCCAAGCTTCCTGCCTTCCCTGGCCGGCTGTGGCCTCCGCTCAAAGCAACAAAGTTTCAATTATAGAAGATAAATAAATCCCAGATACCTGCTTCCAGCCAGCCTCCACTGGGAGCTTGGGTGGCTGGGGGCCTTGGCCAGCCTGCAAACAGCCATCAGGCCCTCACCCAGGCTGGCAAGGCACCCAAGGGGGGGACACCTACCCTGAATGGGCTGTGGCCATCCTGAAAACAGCCATCAGCCCCTCACCCAGGCTGGCCAGCCACCCCAGCGGGGACTCCCACCCTGAAGGGGCTGTGGCCAGCCTGCCAACAGCCCTCAGCCCCTCACCCAGGCTGGCCAGCCACCCCAGCGGGGACTCCCACCCTGAAGGGGCTGTGGCCAGCCTGCCAACAGCCCTCAGCCCCTCACCCAGGCTGGCCAGCCACCCCAGCGGGGACTCCCACCCTGAAGGGGCTGTGGCCAGCCTGCCAACAGCCCTCAGCCCCTCACCCAGGCTGGCCAGCCACCCCAGCGGGGACTCCCACCCTGAAGGGGCTGTGGCCAGCCTGCCAACAGCCCTCAGCCCCTCACCCAGGCTGGCCAGCCACCCCAGCGGGGACTCCCACCCTGAAGGGGCTGTGGCCAGCCTGCCAACAGCCCTCAGCCCCTCACCCAGGCTGGCCAGCCACCCCAGCGGGGACTCCCACCCTGAAGGGGCTGTGGCCAGCCTGCCAACAGCCCTCAGCCCCTCACCCAGGCTGGCCAGCCACCCCAGCGGGGACTCCCACCCTGAAGGGGCTGTGGCCAGCCTGCCAACAGCCCTCAGCCCCTCACCCAGGCTGGCCAGGCATCCCAGCAGGGACCCCCACCCTGAAGGGGCTGTGACCAGCCTGCAAACAGACATCAACCACTCACCCAGGCTGGCCAGGCACTCCAGCGGGGACCCCCACCCTGAAGGGGGTTTGGCCAGTCTGAAAACGGCCCTCAGCCCCTTACCCAGGCTGGCCAGGCACCCAAGGGGGCCCCCCCCCCTGATCCGGGACCCCCTTCAGGGCAAACCAGCCGGCCCTAACCCATGCACCAGGCCTCTATCTTATATAATAAAAGGGTAATATGCAAACTGACCCTAACAGCAGAAAGACTGGGAATGACTGGTCACTATGACACACACTGACCACCAGGGGGCAGA